TATTTTCTGAAGCCTTAGCCATGATTTTGAACAGTAGGGGTTAAAAATAATGATCCTAGCTTAAAATGATGAATACCTATATGTTATTTCATAAAATCTCTACTCTAGACCCCACTTCATTGTCAAAGGCTTGTTTTCTGACTTCAATATTTTACTTTTTCTTTTTTTAATGCTATAATGAAACCCAAAGAAGGAGTAAGATAATGTCATAGTGAGTGAGGAGACTTGAGTTTAATTCTTTGTTGCTGTTTTGTGATCTCAGGCAAACACTTTGTCCCTCTTTCTCTCTGCTTTGATTCTCTGTCTGCGAGGACAATAGCACTTCCTTGTTTCTCCTGGAAATGCATTATTTTAATCACTGTAAGAGACAATGAAGAACTCAGGCAGTAGGCAAGGGGCATTGTGGTAAGTACAATAGCTCAACAGAAATAGAAGAAAAAAAAAAAAGCTGTGAGGCTCCTGATGTTTGAGGCTGGATTGTTTAAATAATTCCACCAGGTTGCTGTGCCCTCTGTGAGGTGAGGATACCAGTAACATTAGCATCTCAGTGGGCTAAAGATCTGAACCCTGCTGCTGCCTCAAGCCTTGTTCTTACTAATATAAAGATCTATTCATCCTTTTAATCTCTGATATTGGGAAAGCTTTAGAAAACCTACACACCTGTGAAATGAAGAGTGGGATGAGCTTGCTTTTGTCTGTTTAAATAAGAAGTAAGGTACTGAGTGAATTGCTTCTGTGCTGCTTGAGTTTTGTGGCTAGATTACTATAGCCTGGGCCTTATGATACATTTAACTAACTTAGAAAACAAGATGAGAAGATCAGCAAGGAAATTGTACAGTGCATTGATGCCCCACAGCTATAAGGGATATACACAACAGGCACTGACTAATTGCATCAGGTTTCCATGAACTTCAGTCAGAAGCAGCCTGGAAGGAAGGTATTCCCCAGCTACCGCTGGACATAACCTGACAGAGAAAAGTGCTGTCTGATAGTGTTGTCATTCAGATAAACATCTGGTTTATCCCCAGATTCTTCTTCTTTACTCCTAATTTTATTGGGGAGCTGTCTTTAATCTTTCGGGGACAGGCTAATACCTTTATTTCTGTATTTCACTGGTTTATGCTTAAAAAAAACCAACAGGTTATTAGCTTTGCTCTCTTGGCATCCTTGCAAAAGCACAAATGAAAAATGTTATTTGTGGGCAGTGATTCTGCGAGTAGGAGCTAGGTATCAGACTATATCTGTCTCGTGGTTTATAAAGCCTCTCTGAGAAAGCAGTGGTCCACCTGTGAAGAAATGGGTTGTAATAAGTGTAAGGGGAGAAAAATATCACGATGATGTTTTCACGATGATATCACAAAGAAACCACCACAAATGAATGGGGACGTACTTTGTAAGGAGGAAGTAGAAACACACCTATAAAAGCCTAAAAATGTTAACAAAGCCACAACTTGTGCTGTGTTGTGCAAGCACCAGGGTGGTGTTTGCTGTGTTGTGCAAGCATCATCAGAAGCAGCCAAGCTCTATCTGCTAGGAGCAGTTTGCCAGGATCCCATACCTCTGGCTGGCTGGAGTTTCTGAAATAAAGGATTATAATTATTTTTTTATTATTATTATTTTTTTTAATGGGGAACAAACATAGAAGCTTTGTCTGTTGTTGTCCACATTAGAACTTATGGCTGAGAACAGTAATGTTTTCTTGTCTCAGGCTGAGTATAGCAAAGTTATCTAGTTATCTGCGTTACCTTGGGTTCACTTGATAGCTGGGTTCCATTTGGCAATTGCCCTGGGGCTTTTTGTTTTCCAGGTTGTGTTAAATGTAGGCTACTGGAACAAGACGCCAATGGTTAATAAAGGTAAAATTCATGTCTTCCTGGCAGTTCCACAGAGATGTCAAGGTAAAGACATCAAGGAAAGCCACAGAGAATGAGGCAAATTGCTATTATTCTGTTGAATCTTGGAGGGGATTTAAGATGTAAAAGCAAGGCACTTCCATGCCCCCAAGTGATTTCAGGCGGTCTTCATTATGCTGTTACAGTGGATCCCTTATTCTCCTGGGGAACTGGAGCAGACATTGTAGCTCTGCCTTAGCACCATCCTTTTTTCCATTTCAGGTGTTAGGCATTGAAGTCTCTGCCTTTCTACCGTCAGGCCTCATTGCTATATTGCCCCTTCCTGCTTTTCCTCCTTGCAGATTTCAAATTACATACTGTAAAGGTGCTTTGTCAGTCAGTGGGACAGATGGGTAGATGCTTCCCTTCCCAGACCATCACTGTTCAGCGGGTGAGATGCTGGCTGGCAGATGTTTCCTCTGTTTGTGATACGGCTACATTAACCAATATGAGGTCTTTCTTAACTGGTGAATAGAAAAAAGAGCCTTAAAGTCAAATCAAGCTTTCTCCCTTTACAGCTTAGAGAGGTAAACATAGAGATAATTAGGCAGCCTAGAAAAGAAGGGGTACTATAAGAAAAAAATCAGAGCAAATTGCATTTTTATATCATGCCTAAACATTGGATGACATTCTAACCCTTCTGTACTTGGTAGGAACATTACTATTTCTGGGGGCACCGGGAGTTCTCACAGTTTAGCTTTATATTACATTAGGTTCTTTGTGGTACATCTGAAGCTACGCTAGTTTTAAAGCCATATACTGTAAAAGCAGAGCTGAGTTAAATGCATAGTTAGATTGCTGTATCGTGGTGGGAAGGCACTTTATCTGCTTAAACAAAGCTCTTATAACTTATGGCAACAAACTTTCACATTTTGATGGTCTGTCTGCAGACACTAGTAGAATCAGGCTAGTACTCCCCAGGGACTAGCTGTTTCACAGACAGGCCACATGAAACAAGTCAAAGGCGAATGTAAACATCTTTTGACTTCAGTTGCTGGTATTTTTCTTTCTGGACTTGGTTTTGACAGGTTGTTGTGGTTTTTAAAGGCTCTGCATTAATAGAATGAATAGAGGATACAGGGCACAAGCGGCAATATTTTTCCAATTCCTGCCAGGCGTGATGTAAGGACTATATGAAGCCTCATGCTCTGTCTACTTGACAAGGTGGGAAGGAAAATAGTATTCAGGTTCTGTGGCTATTCTCTACAATCTATATTTAGCTATTCTTGAACAACCTCTTTCCACCACCTGAAGCATTCCCTAGAGGAAATCTACCTCACTAGGCTAACATCAACCTTTGGGAATATCCTCATACACTTTACAGAGGGATTTCCATGGCCCTTTGTTCAACTCCAGTGTGAAGATGTGATATATGGCAAAGACAGCTGGGTTAATGCTGCCTGACAGCAAACTTATGGTCAAAGAACTTGCATGCTGTTTTGGAGGAAAGATTTGTAAGTCATACTGGTCAGATCTATGCAATTTCTGGAGAGTCCAGAACTAGACCAGAATGGCATTTGGACAATGCTATTTTTTTTTTTTCTCTGGCTGTGCTCACAACACTAACTGCAGGAAAGTTGTACTCTGTAATTTTGACTCATGTGGCTGATGGAGGCCAGCAAAGAAACATTGGAGCAACTTGTGCAGACAGTGCCAAGGCTTCCTTTTAATGCAGGTAGAGAGCTGGTTTCTGTAAGGTAGTGCAGTGATGATGATCTAGCTCAGTACTAGAGAGCATAGGATCAGATAGCAAACAAAATCACCAAAATGGTGAACTAATTCTCTGAACATCCCAGGTCTGTGAACAGCACAGAGAAGGCAGTGACTGCTTTTGCAACTTCTCTCTTCCTGGCAACAAAGACCAGAGCTGACTGGAGTACATTCATGCTGGGCTGCTCTGTATTGTTCCAGCAGCATGATGCTAAGCAAATGGAAAGTTGTATTAAGTGGTCAGTGGGAGACTTTCTTTGCACAAAAAAGCCCTCATGGGGCCCAGAAATAGCCATGCCTTAACGCAGCTTAATGACAGCAGCCTATATAGGAGGCAGTACTTGCATGTAAATTGAAGTGCTATAGGGATACAAAATCTAGCAGCTTCCTTGGCTGTGTGTACGGACTGGACTTTTGCTGTCCACGGTGACCTCAGCCATGTGGATTTGAGGGCCAGCACATTGCCACAAGCTGGCATGCCCCTGACTTATCCTTCGGCAGCTGCAGGTAGAGGGAACAGGAGCTCATTTGAATAGAGAGGGACCTGTTGGCAGGGTGGGCACCTTTCTGAGTGCTGGATAGTGGATTTCACTCCTTTTGGGTGTGTTTCAGGGCACAGCAGCTGTCTGGCTCAGCATCAGTCTTCATTTCCTTTTCTGGGGCCTGGGGATGCTCTTGTCCTTACCTGTTAGATCACTAACTCACTTTGTTTTACCTCAGGGCCTTTGACAGATACCTTCTTAGCATAGAGAAGATAGCTTACTTCACATCTGTAGATCTCCTGCAATACTGATGATATCATTTGATCTTCTGTCTATTCCAGCAACAAAACTCCAGGAAATATGTTTGAGCAAGGAGAACTCCCATGCTAGGATGTTTGTCTGCATATGTCATGTCGAGACAAAGAATTATGTAGGGACAAGGGAACAAAGGAAAGAGTTTACTTTATATTTGCTGATTATATAGTGAAATGTTGCAAGTAGAAAGAGTCCCTTTGACATTTCTGCATCAAACTAATGTTAAATATTGTGAAAAGTACAATTTGGCAAAAAAAATCTTACCTATGCTTTCCATGGCTACCGAGTTGGATGGGGGTTTGCAACACTTTATAGCCCTGCCAAATGTAATAGGAAAATTTGCATAGCTCCCTAAACCACCTGAAAATGTGAGCTCTCAACTATTTAGAACTAGCTTGTCCTCAGGGCATGTAAACATTTGTAATTACCTGAGTCCTGCTTCCTTCACAGCAATATATATCCTACAGGAGAAGGGAACAAGATGGAATCATACTGCCACTGTGTATTTCTTTGGTAATGCAGCATAGGTAACTCTAACCAGCCTCACATTTCTTTTGAAAGGTTTAGAGTACTCTTTGATTTGATTATTTTTCTCCCTCAGAATTCAACGAAACTTGGAAGAGGAAAGAAATTTCCAGGTCTTTTTGTCTGTGTGACAGTGAAAGAGAACATATGGGACAGAAAAAAAGGAGAAGAGATGTTGACAGAAGCACAGGAGTCAGAAATCTGTCATTTTTCATTTCCACTTCGCAAAGCAGCTCAAGTGGCTCCTGCACTGCTTAAATTTAAAAAATAAATAAATAAAATTCAAGCTTCAAGTGAAAGGTATAAACTCTTCTAGGTGCACTATCCCAAGAACAGGAATGGAACTGGACAGCTAACAGGGACCAACAGAAATATGTAGGTATAAGTGAGTGACAAGGCAATTCAAGGTTGTGTTGATATTACATTTTAGAAAACCATGAGATTTTTTTTTTTTTGGACTATAATAATCCTTTTATTTATTTATTTATTTTTTTAAAAAAGCACTGAGTGCTTGGCTCTACCACATGGGAAGCTATTCAATTTGTTTTCCCCTTCCCTTCCCCAGTGTGCTTGCATGACAGCAGCACAGCAAGAGATTATTAATTGTAACACTTCCTCCTTCCTGCCTCCATGTTGTTTCTCTATTTTAATGACTCTCTTCTCTTTCTTTCCATCTTCTCAAGAGAGACGGAGGCAGACGGACAAGACCAGTTATAAAAACTTGAATGCTGCCATGATTGTGTTACTGGGTTTCACACCGTTAACCCAGATAGACAATACTAACTGATAGAGCACACCTCTTCTGGGTTGTAATTGCACATCCATGCACTCTGCAATCTGCTCAGACCCACATATTCCAGCTGCAGCCCAGCAAGCCAGCACCGAGGAAACACAAGCCTTCAAACTCCCTGGTTGCTGCTCTTCAGAATGTGTCTGTCTCACGTGCTCACTGCTCTGCAGATTGGCATGATTTGTAACCTGTTGCCCACTACACCACCAAATCCAGGGACTCTGTCAGTAGAATTTAACTGAAAATATATAATGACAGTGATATTTAAGTTATGGTGAAGCACTTTTTTTTTTTTTTTTTTTTTCCTTCCTAGCATAAGATTTCAGTTACAGACCAGTCTATAATTTCAAAGCACAGTTCTCCATTGCCTCATGCCTTGCTCTGTCCTTTACACCATTACAGTATGATAGGAGTTACAGCTTTTGGAAATGAAGATATTTTGGCTGCTTTACTCAGTATTGTTGTAGTGAGTTTATGTGGCAAGGTTTTGGTAGCAGGGGGCCATAGGGGTGGCTTCTGTGAGAAGAATCTAGAAGCTGCCCCATGTTAGGTAAGGACCCCACTGCTGACCAGAGCTGAGCCAATAAATGATGTTGTTTGCGCCTCTGTGCGAGCATATTTGAGAAAGGGGAAACAAAACAAACAAACAAACAAAATGCTTCTACATGGCAGCTGGGAGAGTGAGAGGACTGAGAAACTGCCTTGCAGGCACCAAGGTCAGTGAAGAAGGAGGGGGAGAGGTGCTCCAGGCGCCGGAGCAGAAGTCCCCTGCGGCCTGTGGTGAGGACCATGGTGAAGCAGGATGTCCCCCTGCAGCCCATGGAGTACCACGGTGGAGCAGGGTTCCACGCTGCAGCCCGTGGAGGAGACCACGGTGGAGCAGGTGGCCCTGCACCGACGGAGGCTGCTGCCTGTGGAAGACCCCTGCTGGAGCAGATCCCGGGCCAGAGCTGCAGCCCGTGGAGAGGAGCCCACGCAGGAGCAGGTGACCTGGCAGGAGCTGCTGCCCGTGGGGGAGCCAGGTTGGAGCAGTTTTCTCCTGAGGGATGGACCCCGTGGTACGGACCCATCTGGAGCAGTTCTGGAAGAGATGCTACCTGTGGAAAGCCCATGCCGTATCAGTTCAGAAAGGACTGCATGGTGTGGGAGGAGTCCTTGTGCACGGCACAAGGGACAAGAGTGACCAAAAAGGAGCAGCGGAGATGAAGCACTATAGAATGACCATAACCGCTGTTCCCCTGTGCTGCCTGGGGGAAGGAGATGGAAGAGGGTGGATGGGGGAGAATGCGTTTTTGGTTTCTTTCCTTTGTTTCTTCTCTAGCTTGTTAGTAATAGGCAATAAATCTTACTGTCTCCCTACTCTGCGTCTATTTTGCCTGTTGTGATAATCATTGAGTGATCTCCCTGTCCTTATCTCAACCCTTGAGCCCTTTGTGTCGTATTTTCTTCCCCTTTCCTTTTGAGGAGGTGGAGTGAGAGAGTGGCTGTGGTGGAACTTGGCTGTCCACCCAAGTAAAACCACCACAGTTGTAAAAAGTGTTGAAGAGCAACTGCGAATGATGTCTATGGTCTGGAAACCACAGTTGAGGCTGAATCAATAGCAGTCACTGTACCTAATGTCATTATTTTCTTAAATGGAGGGCTGAGTCGCTATTTTGCTAGTGCCTGGTATTGCTCGTGACTCCTTAAAATTTAATACTGAAATAAAAATGTAATAACATACAATGAAAGAGCTTCTCTAGAAACTGTCCTAGAAACTTTTAACCTGCAGCTGATACCTATGCTATTGGAATTTATCAGGGGAGCTGATCTCTGGTGATCTGTAATTTTTTTAATGTACATTTTCAAACTGTGTAGATGTTTCAGCACATCATTTCAAATGACAGCCCTTCCTGACCTTTGCTTGAGAGGTCTCACAGAAGTTGTTGAACTCCCCAGACTTGTCAGCTTTAATTTAAATGCCCTGGAGTCTCCCTCAGCTAACAAAATGTTATAGAGACATAAATTACTTCAATCTTGAAGTGTCAATGAGAGGGAGCAAATGTCACGTCCCCTTCTCCTACCTAGGAAAACTCCAGTGCCTCTGGCAGTTAGTTTCCCAGAAGTCTCGTGCTACAGAAGTGAGCATTAACCCAGAGGAAAGTTATATTAATCTCTTTTCCCTTCTCTCAGCTATGCAGTCTTTAACCAGCTGTGTGCTTGATGGTTACTCTTGGGCTACTGTCCTAGTAATCATCCCTTTTGTTGCCAGGCATGTTAATCAGCCTTAGTCTGAAACTCTTTGTGCACACACGTGTGTCTGTGTGCAACTAATTACAATAAGCCTTGACACCAGTTGTTAATGACCAAGACCTAAATGAAGGGGAATGCAGGTGGATACATGGGGTCTGAGCACAGCTCTGTCTTGCTGGGGATGGGTCCTATAGGGAAGGCTTCCCAGCTCCTCAGGCCCTTCCTGCTGGCAGGTGCTAACCCCCACCCAGGGGTGCACCCACACGGCCATGTACTCGCTACTGGTGATTGCTTGGTGTGGGCATGGGGCAATGCCACTGGTGACACGGGGGCCAACAGAAAATGGGGGTGATGGTGCTGGTGTGTGAGGAAGGAGGCCGGGAAGGCAGCGCCCTTTTCGCGATGGCACGGCCCCCAGCAGCCCGGGGGGGAAGGCGCCGGGGTCGGCACTAGCCCCGAGCCTCCGCAAGCCGCTGCCGGGAGGGAGGTGACGGCCTTGGGGCTCGGCCCCCTCAGCGCTGGCGCGGTGCGGCCCGGGGCCGCTAGGGGGAACCGCCCGCCCGGGAAATGGCGCCCGCTCCGCTCCGCTCCGCTCGGCCCGGCCCGGCCCCTGCTGAACGGCCGGGCCCAGCGGGGTTTGGGGATATGGGGGCTGTGGTCCCTCCGGGGGTACGCGAGATAGGGGCAGTGACCCAAATCCTGACATCGCAGCAAGTCGCCTTAGGCACGAATGTCCCAGGATGGTTAGAAAAATTAAAAAAAAAAAAAAAAAAAAAGTCTCCTGTTTCTCCTATGCACTCCCCTGTTCATACAACGTGTGATTTCTCATCTCTGGCTCCATTGGCCTTTATTTTCAAAGCCTGTTCAATAAATGTAACCGAGCCCAGGGCTCCACAAGGGTTCTACATCCTTGAGCAGCTGGGCGGGCTGCAAGCCTGCTTCGTGTTTTTTGGCTGCAGTTTTGCCCCCCCACACCCTGCTCCTCCCTGGGCCTGCAGGAGCGTGGCTGTGATGAGGATGCAGTTTGGCGTTGGCTGCATCTGGGAGCTGCAGCAGCAAGCTGCAAAGGAGTGGGTTCAGGCCGTGGTTGTGCACGTCATGGAGCGTGTGGTGGCTGAGGGAAGGATTCTTGGCCCTTAGAGAGCTTCCCAGCTCCAGCAGAGTGGCAGGGCCTCCTGGTATGTCTCACCGGGTAGCCTGGGCTGGCTCCCCCCTCTTGACTGTGGCAAATCCCTTAGCAATGCCAGTTGGCTGCTCTTTCAGTGCTAGGTGGTGGCCTGGCACAAGTGGCCTTGTGCTCATAGTAGTGGTATGGCTTCGGATTTGGGATTACTTTGGTAAGAACACACTCCACAGGAGGAAGAGAGGCCAAATCCATCCCTCAGGAAAAGCCTGCTCTACTGTTCTGTCTTTTCTCCTTCTCCCTTACCCTAGTTTTTTTCATCTGTGCTATTTCCTTGCCTGCACGCTCATCATCACTGCACTCTCCTCTTCAGTTTTCCTAGTACAGTAGGGGAAATGAGAAGGAAGAAGAGGTGTCATTCCATAGCCTTCTTTGTTCCCCTGAAGGATCTTTAAATGTGATCTTTTGTCCAGTAACACAATATAAGCCAAAATTTCCACTGAAATTAACTCATCCTTCATTCAAGGTGTGCATCGTGCTGTGGGTAAGAACAGTCAGACCACGGAGTGGAGTGGGTAGAAGGGATGATTCAGAGAAGTGTTCCTTGATTTATTTTCTCTTGAATCTAGATTGCTTCATTTTATTTCATTTTCTGTCTTGTTTGCAGGTTTAGAGTCTGGAGGTTTTTTTATTTTTATTTTTATTTTTTTTATTTTTTGTGCTGCTTTCTGTTGTTATTCTCTAGTCAAAAAAGAGGAGTCGTGGAGTAAATGGATTATGAAGTACTTTAACTCCATGTTCAGCGAGCTGGAGATGGGTGAAGGCCAGGCTGGCAGGGGAGCAGGGAGGGTAGGGCTGGCATACACCAGAATACTGAATGAGGAGAGGCAGAAATTGTGGTACTGGTTTGCCTTTATGTAACTTGTGTTTGGGGAACATAAGGCTGAGTGAATATCCCCAGCTAGTTCTAAAGCTAGGGGCAAGTCTCCATTTAATGCTTTCTGTGTTCAAGGTGGCTTTAGAGAGGGATAGACGATAACGTTGAAATGCAGGTATGATTTGAAAAGATGTGCTTTAATAGTACTTTAGTACTTTTTTTTTTCCTTTTTTTTTTTTTTTTTTGCTGTTGCTTTTAAAATCCCAGTACTTAACCGTTTTCCACTCCCACTGGCTTTGTGTGCCTGGTGCTGACTAGTATTATCACACTGATCGTTGAGAAGGATCCTGTGTGCTGTACTGGCTCTGTATGTGCTCACGTGTATGTTCTCCTTCTCTGTGCTCAGCCCCCAGCAGGTTCCAGGCAGCTTCAAAATAAACTTGCACTTGGGTTCAAGCAAGTTTGTTTCATGGCTCCCTGGCACTAGAAAGAAAAAAACCTACTCAGTCTGTCTCCTCCTGTTTTTTTCCTTCCCCCTTTCTGATTTGCTTCAATCCATAGCTCATTTTCTTCTCTCACACTACTGTGTGATTTCTTGTGCAGTTCAACAAAGGGAAGCCCAAAGCCCTTCACCTGGGGAGGAACAACCCCAGGTGCCATTACTTGCTGGGGGATGACCAGCTGGAATGCAGCTTTGCAGAAACTGCCTTGGGGGTGCCGGTGGGCACAAGGCTGAACACGAGTCAGCAAGGTGCCCTTGCTGCAAAGAAGGTCAACAGCCTCTTGGACTGTATTAGCAGGAATGTTGTCAACAGTTGGAGAAATGTATGCGGTGATCCTTCCTCTCTATTCACCGGTGTGGCCGCTCCTGGAGTACTGTGCCCAGTTCTGGGCTTCCCAGTGTAAGATATGCAGGGACATCCTGGAGAGAGTTCAGCAAAGGATCACTAAGGTGATTAAGGGACTGCAGCATCTCTCATAAGAGGAAAGGCTGGGAGAGCTGGGACTCTGCAGCCTAAAGGAGAAGACTCCGGTGGGATTTTATCAGTGTGTATGAACACGTGAAGAGTGGGTGTAAAGAAGACAAAGCCAGGCAGAGATGGGACAAGAGGCAGCAAGCACAAACTAAAACAAAATGGGTTCCATGTGAACATCAGGAAACTTTGTTGTTGTTGTTGTTTTTTTTCTCTCTCTCTCTCTTTTTTTTTTTTTTTTTTTTTTTTTTTTTTTTTTTTTTAATGTGAGGGTGACTGAGCACTGCCACTGGTATTTACACAGAGAAGTTGTGGAGTCTTCATCCTTAGAGATACTCAAAAGCCATCTGGATGTGGTCCTGGGCAGCCTGCTATATGTGGCCCTCCTAGATGACCTCCAGATGTCCATTCCCGTCTTGACCATGCTGTGATTCTAGCACTGGGTTTGGAAACATTCCCTTCTCTTGTTTAGTATGCGAAACAGCACTCCAGGACCTTATCCAGACCGAGGTGTTCACTTCCCTGGGCTTCTGGTTTCCTACCTGTAAAATGGTGATAAGACCTACCTACCTCAGATAATTAGTTAATTAATATTTCTTCTATACTTTGAAAACAAGATGGGGGAATTTGACAAAATGCAAAAGACTGCTAATAAATGAGATTAGAAACAGTCTAATGGTAATATAGCTTATATTTGTCTGTGAAAATTAAGGTCATGCTTGGCTGTAATATAAATATCTTGCTTGGAAAACTAGTTTGGGTTCAAAAGGACCTTGGTTTTCTTGCTGTCAAAGTAGTTGTGGAAGAAAAAGTGGATCAAGTCCTTACCTTAAATTTTTATTATCTTAAATTACTATCTCTTTGCATTTACCCAAGCTGAAGACTGACCTCAAGCTTCAGAGCTGAGCTTTATGGTAACAGGGTATGCAAGCCCTGTACTGACCACCACAAAGTTGATACAAAACTTGTCTTGCTAAACAAGCCAGAAGAGCTGACAGAGCCCAGCTAAGTTAGGATAGAAAATAAGGTGCAGGAAATGACCAGGTGACTGAAGGGAGCATCAATATCTTTTTGGACTTCCTTTGCCACAGAAGATGTGACAGATGCTGGACTGCTTTTTATTTTGTTGCTAGCTAGTGCTGACTGAGCTTGCTGCTGGTGGTGTTCTGCTTGAAGAGATCTCTTTTTGCACCTGGTTGGGCAGCAGTGCTGGCCTGTGTTGAGCCCACCTGACCCCAGTCTGGTCAGGTTGCCTCCTGGCTACCTCCAAAAAAGTAAGAGAGATGAAAGCTTTTGTCGGTTTTTGCTGTGGATAACGACACAACTTTGCTCTTGCTGGTTAATGGTGTGTCTTTTTGGAGCAGGTAGTTTATAGTGACTACCACTTTAGAAAGGGTTGAAGTGCAAATGGGGTGATTTCTTATTTCATGGCTGTGGACTACATTATGCAGCTTTGTACTGTGAAATACAGGAAACCGGGCTTAGCCAAAAGTGAGTTGCTTAGCAGATGCTTACTGTCATACAAATTAGCCACAGCTTTTGCATCTTGGAGTACTGCCAGCAGAGAGATAGTTATTGCATTAAACATCTACTACCAGTCATGATCTAAACTGAAGCAAGAAGATTAATTGCTCCTCTAGCTTTAACTTAGCAATTAGCACTTTTTTTGTGGCATCAAACATGGTTTTTATCTTTAAATCCAAACTATAATACACTGCTCTGAGTTTGAAATCAATGAGTGTATGGGAGGAACCGGAAAAGATTTAATTTAGTGAGAGAAAGTATTGTGTATGTATAGGACCTATCTCATTTTAAGGAAATATTTTATTAGTGCTACTCATCTGTTATGTAGTAATTCATACCTTCAGAACTGTAGTTTAAATAAATATATGCCTTAAAGAGTGGATACAATTGATTTGAACTACTAGTAGGTAAGAAATAAATGTTCAGTAAACACCTTCTTTCACTTTTTACTCTGCCTCAACTGAGATTTTTAATACATAATTGTACAGACTGACTAACAAAGCACAGTGCCTTTTCCTTACCTAAAAATATTTCTTTGCAATTATTTTGAGTTGCGAAGTTCTTACTTAAACTCATCTGAACATGAAGTAAACAACTGGATTGTAGAAAATTCAGACTTCAGTATTTTCCTGAGGATATAAGATTTTTTCAGCCATTGCTGTTTGTTATGAGAGGGATTTGACACCAGAAAGGCAGTTTTGGATTGAATTTGTAACCTTGTCTGTTCATGCCAATGCTGCTGACTTTTGCCTGTTCTGTTCTCCGTAATCTTCTTAGCCAAGCTCTGTATCACCAAAGCTTTGATTGCTTGAGTTTAAATGATGTCTAGAAACTTTAGGTCATAGAAATGTTTATATTTCTTTTGAAGACTTACCCTTCCTGGTTAAAGAGAAAGGAAAAAAAATAAATTAGAAAATAGTGTCCCCAGAAAACAAATGGAAAATCCTTAAAAATAATAAAAAATTGTTTAATTCATCTCAGGATTGTGCAGCGGAGGGGGTATCAAAGCATTGCTGGTATTTTCAGTAGTTCTGATATTGTTAGTACTGTCCCTGTAGTGCAGTAGCACTTTTCAGAAGAGGAACATGAGAGCAAACAGCAGGTAACATTTACTACTTGAGTGCTGGGGTGCCTTCAAGTGTTAGGTTTATACTCAGCCTTTGCAGGGCTGCTACAAGGTCTTCATCATGCTTTTCTTGCAGCCTTTTTTCTTTGGTGTGCAGAGTTCAAAAAAGTTTTTCCCTTCAACAGCTACCGCAGTGACTTTCTGTTTCCCTTATGCAAAGGAATCTGAAATGTAAAGGCCAAATAAATAATAACATGTACTTGCCTAGAAATAATGTGCTAAGTTTGTAACTACTGGAGAAAATGATTTGGTACATAGTTATTTCTGTGTACCTCCCTAACACCAAGAACAATTAGACACCAGCTGAAGGCAGTGACTGCCAAAAGCACATTTGGATGAGGTGGGTGTTTCTGGGTGGTACAGTCATGCATTAACAAGTGTGACTGCATCACTAAAACAAAAGTGTATTCGTAGCTCAACCCCTCTTCAGGGATGTGCTCTCCTCAAGAGGAAAGGATACCAATAAAGCATTTGGCAGAGAGGAAATGTGAAGGACTGAGCACAGAATAATGAGATGTATTTAACTGCTCGCTGTTAGCAAAAAAACGTCTACCTGAACTACATATAGTGTTCACAGCTGCTTCAGGAATCATCCTGTGTGAAAGACTAAGTGGGACCAGGTCAGCTGCTCCAAATTCAGTTCCCTAGGTGTTAGAAGAAATCTAAATTGATGGGTGGGTGGGTAGGCAGAAAGCAGCAACTGGGAAGGCAGTTACAGTAGAGACAGGAGTCCAGAGAGCTTCACACAAAGCAGAGGATATGTAAAACCCTTTCCTTCAATACATGTGTGCTTTTCTGATAAATAGAGTTAAGAAAACAGACTTTTTTTCCCCTCTTTTCTGAGACTGAACTCTTAGAAGGTAAAGAGCTACTTGTAAAAATACTTAGTTCCAGGGAATAAAATCTTGTAGTTTCTTTCTTGCTCCTTGGATTCAGTACTAAGCTCCAGTGGGTGCCCGTGTACCTTGTGGGGAGGGGAAAGCAGCATCCAGCAAAAAGCTATTATGCATCTTGAAAGAGTCAGATATTTTTCTTAGCACATCACATGCATAGATAAATGCTAGAGGTGAAATGATTCTGTGTGGGGATGTATGATAAAGTGTTTGGCACTATGGAAATTTCAGACACTGAGAAATGATGGTCCACAATCCGTAAGTGCTTTTAATAAGATAACTATCCGCTTGTTTGCTTAGATTTCTTGTAGTTGCATCTTCCACCACTGGGTGTTGAAGGGTGAGCAGATACAGCTCAGTGAAAAGGATACAAAAGAAACCACCTTTGCATTTTGAGAAATGTTTAGCAGCTTAAGTAGATTCAGAGTATAATACTGTTGACAGTGCATAAATGACAGCTATTTTCTGTTTATCTACATGCTACTCCATTCTTTGAGCCTTACTATTGTTATTTAAATATGAGTATCTTAAGCATCTTTTCTCCTCAGAAGCAACCCCTAGTTTTTCTTCCACTTTGCTTTCACAAGGTATTGTCAAACTTTTTACATGTAAGAGGAAAAGCGATATACGCTGCCCTCCAGCAGATATAAAGGGAAAAGCAGGTGGAGTGGAAGCTGTGGCTCTAGACGTCCCATGTTATGACACGGTACTCAGGAAACAAGGGAAGCAAAGGTCTTAAACCTTAAACGTTTCAGTGTGGTTTCCTTGCAGCCTTCTGCTAATCTGGTAATCCTTTGAGGAAACAATTCTGAGGATCTTTCTGGAGACAGCAGAGCACAGCTGATCTTCAAAATGGTTATTTTCTTTTAGCATAATATAGCCAGTGCTGAGGTCACGGGGGCTGCCGCAGCTGTAGTCTGACTGCAGTGGTATCAAGTGCATTTGCTTATGCTGAGCGCAAGCCAAATTACATGCTGCTGCATCCTAGTGCCTTCAAAATTTAGCTGTGCTACTGCTGCGCTAGAGCTATGTGGTGTGACAAGTAAGCTTTCCACTAGGCTCCTGCAGGGGTTAAAATCAGCGGTAAAAGAAATGCATTGTTACTAGTACTTCTGAGTAGTATCTCATTTGGATCTTGATGTGAAAGCAGAATATAGTAAGTTTCAAGTGACAGAAACAAATTAGTTCAATATCCTAGGTCTCAAACCTTGTCATCTTGCATGAAACACCTCTGACAGCTATTGTGGGAGCTTGTAGCTAGTGGGCAAAATACAAAAATCATTAAGCTCCACAGTTTGGAATATAAGGGGGGGGGGGAAGCAGGAGAGAGAAACAACAGTGACAGCATTTTTCTGGATTTTCTTGTCTAATACAAAATGCTAAAAGTCTCTTGGAAGAAAAGCTGCAAAGACTGGTGACACCTTTCCCAAACTAAGGCTCTGTGTAGTGGTCTCATGTCTCAGCTTCTTTGTGACATCCCAAAGCTGCCAGCCCATGTGCCAAGTCAGAGCATCTCTGAAGGACTGCTGCAGCTGACAGCAGGATTTGTAGTTCCTGTAAGGAGCCTCCAGTCCCTGTTCCTGCTGGCCAGTATTGAATGGCTGGCAGCAAATGCAAAGCCAGAGTCTTGATGATGCAGTCTAAATCTGTCTGACCTGAAAAGTGCAAAACCCATCCCTGGGCTCTGTGGTGGCTCTTAGCTACTCATCTGCACTGTGGGGGTAAAAGCCCACTGTCTTGTTAGTACCCTTAGCTGCTGACAAACTTGCACTGATAGTTTTGAGGCAACGGCTGTTGCACTTTTTAGTGCTGTGTCTTGGTGTGTAAATCAAGGTCGGCCAAGGTGCGTCTTTGAGGCCTTTGCAGGCAGCCCACTAAAGGCCTTGTTCATTGTGGCTATCTTTGGCCAGAGCAGTTGGCTGGGGATGGCTGGAGTGCATACAGGTCCCTTTGGCTTTGCTGGGACTGGGACTAGATACTCTGGGGAAACTGGGGGTTTGGAGGCGCCAGCCCCTGAGCATTCTGCAGCTTCCCCTCCCCAGGTGTGTGCTGCTGACTGAGATCACTCCCCCTGCCCTTTTTGGAGAAGCTGCTGAAGGACCTTTTCTTGGGACCCACGGTGCTTGCACTGCAGTTGGTCTCTTCTTTCTCACTCAGCTAGGAAGAGGGCTCACAGCTCTAGCGCTTGAGGCAGTTGAGAAAAACTCAGGGGATGTTAGGCTTCGGGCCTAACTGGCTTCCAGCATATGCTGAGCTGGAGCTTCAGTAGGTGGCCTTCAGCCCAAGCTCACTGAGCCACCCACCTTCAGCAATGCTCCAGTGGCCCTGGCACAAGCTCTCTGGCTGGGTTTGGTGCTCAGAAAGCCGTGGGGGCTGTGCCAGCCAGGTATATGAGGTAGGGCTGAGGGAACAGAGAGTATTTCATGTTTTTCTTCTTTCCAACATCCCCATAAGGAGGACCAGCTGCACTTTATGAGGTAAACTCTCCATAGTCCCTATTCAAATGGTGTCTCTGAGCACCAGGCATTGTATGCGTGCAAATCATGTGAGGTGCCCTGACTACTAGCCATTCCCCTGAGGCTGTGCCCACATCTGTCTTGTGTGTGCAGCGGCAGAGGGCATGTAACACTGGCTTGCTATGAACTGCTAACCCATGAAAGTGCCTTGACTACTGCTGGGGCATAACCCAGAAAAGTCCTTCATCTAGGGAAGGGCAGAGCTGCAGCTGCACTCAACTAGTTAACAGAGGATGATGCTAGGTATGTTTAAAGCTACCACCCTTTGCTGGGAATGGCTTGGCTCTATGCTGCAGGCCTGTGACAAATTAATAATGTTAAGTCTTTAATTCCAAGCTGTATTTTGACAATGGAGACCAAAACCCGTGTGGTGTTTCACTTAAAACTTCATTGGTTAGTCGTTACTTTTTTTTTTTCTTTTCTTTCTTTCTAATTTTGTTTCTTTGTTTTGTCTACTTCAAGCATGTATTTCCTTTATATTTAAGATAATACCTGAATGCTTCAAACTAGGTGGCTCTGCAAATCCCAGGTGGGTCAGGGTCACAATGAGTAAATGCTACCTCCTTTTCCAGAGCAAAACTGATCCCAGAAGATCCATCTCTTTAAAACTTGGGAAATTTATGCTCCCAGTACTACTAATACAAAAGAGTCATTATGTAAATGCAGAGTCTTGGTGTTTTTCCTTAAATACAACAAATGTGAACTCAGTTATATAAATTTATACATGTTAAAAAAAAACAATGAATATGTTCTCCTTATATGAACAAAAGCTCTTAGAAATATTGCCTACACCGCACAAGCTTCTGGAATGCTTTCTTGAAATCTTCATTAAAGATTGTGTAGATTAGAGGATTAATAAGGGAATTGATATATCCCAGCCATGCTAGGAAATTAGACATGTCTTCTGAGATGTGACATCTTTCACAGGTATTAACAACTACTTCTTTTACAAAAAAAGGAAGCCAGCAGATCACAAACGCCCCCAGGATCAGACCCAGAGTAGTTGCTGCCTTTCGCTCTCTTGTGCTAGAGATTCTCTGTTTTTTCCAGGACTTCTCGTGCTTAGATTCAGACCTGGGGCTTCGTACGGTGATATTGATTTTATCACAGTCCACCAGTGGATCTGATGTCTTTTCTGTTGTGCTGGGCATTGAAGCCAATTTGGTGCTTCTTTCACCTGCGTCCAAAAGGACTTGTCCATTTACCTCCTCCCTGACGATCCGGCTGACGCTTCTTCTGTGAAATGTCTTTGCTGCCTTGTATATCTTGTAATAAAGGATCAGAATCAAGGCCAATGGGATATAGAAGGCGCCAAACGTAGAGTAAATGGTGAAAACAATGTGGTCATGTTTGATGATGCATTCATCATCCTTGCTGGTTGTTTGGTGCCGCCAAAACAAAGGCGGCATGGAGATAAAAATGGATATTATCCATACCACTGCAATCATGATACCTGCATGCTTTGGTGTCCTTTTCCGTGCATATTCCACAGCATCTGTGATTGCTCTGTACCGATCCAAAGCAATGGCAGAGAGATGCAAGATGGAACATGTGCAACATGTAATGTCCACGCTCAGCCAAATGTCACACACCACTTGCCCCATGATCCATGTCTCCTTTACAATGTAGACAATGCTGAAGGGCATCACTAGGACTGCCACAAGGAAATCAGTCACTGCAAGAGAGCAGATTAAATAGTTGGCGGGGTGGTGGAGCTTTCTTGTCACAATTATTGCAGTCATCACAAGAGAATTGATGGCTGTTGTCATTAGTGCAAGTACAGACAAGGTAATGGAAATGAGAATCTTGGATGTCACCCATTTGAATAGTTCTGCTGACGTACTGTTTTGTTCTGTTGAGTTTATTAAATCCATGTTCCCTTTTAAAGGTGATCTTTACCAGTAGAAGCTACCTGTTAGAAAAATAAAAACAGTTCAGAAAGTGCATCTCTGGTCTATAGAGAGCCTTCATTTTTGTTATCTTAAAAGACTACGGGCTCCAAAATTACAGGAACATCAGACTTATCATTAGAAATGATTCTGGCTCTAGACAGAGATTTTCCTGGCTAACATGGTGTGGGATGCTCTGCTTTCTCTTTCTCCTTGGCTGTGCTGATGGGAAGGGCATATTTGCACAGCAGGGGAGAGGAGCATGCAGTGGTGCCTGAGATGGCACTGCCCTGCAGGGTGCTGCAAACCGTGGCAGGGAACAGCCAGCCCTATCCCTTCAGCAAGCAGTGGCATCCATGTGGCCCCCGCGGTGCAGAGCCAGCCTTTTGCTAAATGCTTGGATTGTAGTGGGTTCTCAAAACTGGTTATACATGGGCAATCTCATCCTAAGATAAATACTGACACTGCCTCTAGGCTAATGCTGACTACTCTGCTGAGCAATGTAAACACTATTGAAAACGAATCCACAGGAAGTTAGTATAATGCTTCTTTTCTCTATATGAATCCATTCTTTCCCATCAGTACGAGTTCTTCCTTGTATATAGCGAAACATGGGCTTTCTAAACTTGGACATAGTTTTCTAGAGAAACCAGTAAAGTGAACAATTGCTCTATGAGTATGAGAAGAAACATTTACACGTTGAAAATTTCATTCCTCCTATGCAACTCTAAAATTAAATGGCTGGATATATTTTAAATCTTCAGATGTCTGGCTTATTGTCTAACTGAAATATTATGCATAGATTAGACTCTTGAAAACATCATTACTTTCCTCAAGTTTTGCTGTTCTCTGGTTGCTGCCATAGAAAAATGCACAGAACTTGAAAGCTGATTGTTCCACTAGTGACTATCTCTGCGGAAACAGTACAACTCCTCTTACAGCTCCACAGGAAATAAAAAGCAAGGAAATATTGAGATGTGTTCTCAGTTGTGTTCTGGGGAAGTGCTGTTCCACCCTGCACTCTTATCAAGGAGGGTTTCTGAGCACATTGCAGGCTGGAGCTGAAGTAGGAGTTTCCAGCTTTTTAGTCTAGAGCTCGTAGCTCACAGTAAGATGATCAGATCATCCTATTGTGAGTTTTGACATGAGATTTCCTGTGCATGGAAGACCTACCAGATGAACCCCTAAGTGGGGTTTCCTTTCATCAGTCCTGGACTATGTAAGTGGGTTGCACTTGCTTTGCACTGGATGCCAGAAATAGGGAAATATATGAAATAAATGAATTGTGTTTTCTTATGAAAGAAAGGGTCTCATTAACATAACTAAAGCTTTTTGGTATTGTGCGGAAGTGGCTTAAAAATTATCATATACATAACCTTGATCCTTTGGACCAATTTAGTTTGATATTCTAACCCAGGAAATGCTTAATATGCTATTGGGTTACTCAAAAAGGTTTTTAACATTGCTTGACCCCACCATTTAATTGTATGGAAGGACAAGGAGAGGAAACATCTTATTTACTGTTATTTACAAACACTACACAGAATCTTGTCCTGCACATGAGCTGATTACAGCACGCACATGCTCTTTTTCTCTCTGCGTCCCTCTCTCTGAACTTGAAATACACTTCACATACATAAAATAGATCTTCTGTCATGTCAGTGTCACCTTAAACCCCCTGAATCCACAGTAATTGCTAGGTTGCAGATATTTTTGTCTATAGCTAGCTGCCTTCCAGAGAAGGAAAAGGCAAGTATAATATTGTCTGGTGAATGTTCAACCTTTGCTAAATAAATCTTCATTTCTGAGCTTGAGTAAATACATGAGAAAAAATACTTATTGGGAAATACTAAGTCTGTTGATATCCAGCAGTTGATCATATTTTAAAACAGTTACTCATTATGCTTAATTACCTTATAAATTTCTGACTCTTTAGATATTAGTCTTTAATTGCAAGCAAGCAAAAAGCAATTTAGATATAATGAAAGTTGATTAATAGCTTTTGAAAGATTATTCAGTTTGAGGCTGTGGAGTAAGGAAAATGGTATGGATGGGTTCACAGAACTGGTGTGTAGGAATAAGTAGGTTTCCTTAGGACTGATCATGATCATGAGGCTCTTTGTAAGAAGCACAGTGACAGCAATGCACTTACTTGCCATGTGTCTCGTTCTGTGGTTTTAAGATTGTCAGCCAGCATGCTCTGATTTCATTCAGGCTGAGAGCATGGGCTCACAGCAGTATTGAAGACTGCCACCCAAATTTTCAGCGTGCTGCTGTTAGATACCTGGGGTCTCCCATTCATGGGATATAACCTGTGCTTTAACGGTACCCATCTGGAATCCCACCCTTTTATTCCTGTGTGGATTGTTAAGTCCTTCTGCTAATGCCTTCAGAACCCCAGCAGCTGGTGCTCAGGGTGGTCCCCATGAGCTGCTGCGCAGACCAAGGAATGTGGCACCATCCAGGGTGGGCAGCAAGATCTGTCCTCCAAAGTGGTGGCCCCGTCTGAGGCTCCAGAGCCTATCTGCTGGCTGTGCTGTTTGGGGCTGCTGGTCACAAAGTACACTGTACTTCCAGTTCAGACTTTGCTGTTAGCCCCACGTGAGTATACAGAGCAAGACTTACAGCTAAAAAAGACTTCAAAAGGAAGCACGGAAGACTTTGGGCCTTGTTCTCCAGGTAGTGAATTTACTTTGATGAATGAAAACCATCTTGCAGTCATGCTGAACTGAAGATCTGTATTCCAATATAAGATGGGTTCAGTGGTGAAAAGTATGTATTTTCAAAGAAATTCTTACAGTCCAGATATTTCTAAGGCTACTTTTGTATAACTGGCTACTCAATGCCCCTGTTGAAGGATGAAGCTTAATCTATTGGAATACATGGAATATATCTGATTCCATGGATTATAATTATTATTTTTTTTTTTGGTCATCTTTACAATATGCAGCTGCTGTTGGGAAACTTTAGAAAGCCTTGAAGCTTCGATTCTGTGCATTGCATTGATATTCTCCTGAATTTAAGATTAGGGAAAAGGATGTTGCTAAAGGTTGCTTTATCTTCATTATAGATCTTAACAGAGTAATTTATTCTCTAACTGCTATTAAAACACAAGTATGATGTTTCAGTTGACCAACTGAAATATTATGCTGAACAAGAGATCTGTAAACAATGGAAGTTGCTGTTTACCAAAGATAGTATGTCTGTTATCTTGGATATGTTGACATTATTTCTTTTTAGGAATTAGCCACTTCTGTGGCTTTTTTTTTTTTCCTTCCTGCCCAAATGCAGCATGATAAGATGACCCTGAATGTATCTCCTTGATTATAAAGGCAACTGTATCATCCAACTGATCTTGTTTAGGAGGCATGAGGGAAAATGTCTGTATAGCTTGATCACAAATATAAATGTGTAATTTTTACATTGGCAATTCACAGAATAAAGAACTTCATTTGCTCTCCTCAGTTTTGTGTGTGTGTTAAACCCATAAATGCCCATTTATATCTGAGATTTACAGAAGAATAATTAAATTGCTCTTGTTCAGTAGCATCAGTCTGTCCTTAAAGGTTTAGAAAACAGCACACCTTTGCCTAAACTTGGGAAGTAGTATGAATTTTCTCCAGTTGCTGGAGAAACATGGCTAGGAATGCCTTTGGGAAAGGTGACATGAGCCTACTGTTTCAGATCCTGAATTTAACTTGAACTATTAGCTTACAGCTGCTGGAGTTTTTATTTTATTTTATTTTATTTTATTTTATTTTATTTTATTTTATTTGTGTCTGGCTTGTTTTAAACTGCTGTAAGCACTGTCAGGGAGAAAACCTGATTAGAGTTTAATTACTGCTTTTTGCATACAAGTTTTTTGAGTATATTTCGTGGCTGTTTGCTTGTTTTCTGTACACGTGGGGTCCTTACCAAAGCGTGTTTAGTTTAAAATGTCATCATCAAAAGTAGTAGTAGAGCTCAGGAAGCAACTGAACTGAGGATACTTAAAATACTCCAGAAAAGTAGCAGTGTTTGCACTGCCAGGTTGTCCTCTCAACTCCATTGAGTTAATACAAAGTTGTGCCAGTGACATAGAAAGATCCTGGCTATCTCCTCTCACTTAACAGGCTCCAGCTGGCTTTGAAATGATGAAGCATTTCACCTGCTAGCAGGATTCCTTGCTTTATTGGCCAAACTGGTCAGTAAGCCAGTTAAAAAAGGCACAGCTTTCTTGCTTTAATGGAAACTGACCCTACAATTTTTTTCTGATGATGGGGAGGATTCTGTGTTTGCATTCAGCCATCATGTTTTTACCACCTGCTCCTGCATAGGCTAGCCAGACACTGGAGGTAAGATTAAAATAACCATAGAATAAGGCAGTTTTAAGTACCATAATTGCTTGAGAGCTAAAATTTCTTCCCAAAGCAGTATTTATGAGCTTGTAAAAATTCTTCCTGATATGGCTGTCACTGTCTTTAGATACCAACCATGTTGTATGCTAATGATAATTAGCTTAGTAGTGATCCATCACATTAAATTTGAGCAGAAGGAAATAACGCTCTTTTGAATTAAACAAATCTGTTTAAAGAGAATGAACTCCTACCAGATCTGGTGATGGATATGTGCTTTGTTGAGCCCAAACTCTGAAGTCTCACAAGCTGAGAAAGAGAGGAATTCTCTCATTTGATTTTTAGTGCCTGTCCTTAAAATCTGTTAAAATCTTAACTCTTCCTAAGGTTCCTAGAGCTACAGTGCATCCCCTGAAATGAAGTAGGGGTGACTGGCTGGTGTGCAAGAGGAGCTGCTTACTGGCTGAAGGCAGCTGCTGCAAACCTGCAGTAAACAATGCCATCCCTGGAATGCAAAGTAAACGTCCATCAGCAGTTTGAAAGGAAAAGCAGAAATCTCAAGGCTGCCATACCTGAACTGCATTGCTATATGCTTGCTGTAGATGTACCTCCTCCTGCTAAGCCACAGCTTTAAAATATTTAAATCTTGGTGTGCTGCCAGATATTCTAAAATGGCTGTAAACTTACCCTCCCTCCCCCCTTTTTTTCCCCTCTCTTTTTTTTTCTTTTTTTTAAGAGATGTTTATGTGTCCATAATTACAAGGTAGAGTTATTTCCAGTCCTTCATCTGTCAGCAAACAATCACATGTGCATGCTGAAGTAATGCTTTAGAGTCTCTGTTTTGGGTCATGCTGCCTCAGTTCATGGGACTGAGCACATTCTGGACCTGAAATGTATTGGTGAAGTGGAGGAATAACTGAAAAGATGTTTAGATTTTGCTGCTTGAGTCTCTGTTAACTGTAGTTATTTATCATTTCCACTTGTAGAAGGTCACAACAGACCTATTTCTAGAAACATAGACCACAAATAACTACAAAACTGCAGATAAATCAATTGAACTAATATCATACACAATTCTGCCTACCAAGCACCCTCTTGGGAGAAGCATGGGTAAATAAATAGGCTTTGCAGCATGCCCTGAATAGCAATATAACACGTGAAGGAAACAAATCTCAGAATCCTGGAGGATACGTGCCTCCAGCTTAGAGATGCACAAAGCCATTTATTGTCTGAGTCCAGGAGGTCTGATTTGTTAGAGAATGGCAAAGAAATTCCTTGAATGCAATGCACAAAACTTGCACAGTAAACCTGCATCTGACACTTTTCTTAGCCATGTTACCAGTCTAAAAGTCCCTGTGTTGGTGAAATGATACACTGCAGTATGTTTTGTGTCAGGCACAACAATGATGCTTGCTTTAGTTTTCTGGACAGCTCTTTAAATTCTTTCAGCCAACAAAAATAATCCCAAATGACAAACTCTGACAGACTTAGCCCTGAAAGTTACCAGCCCAGATGTCTCCTCTGTCATCGTATTACTCCTGGACCAAAATCAACAGGATGGAGGTAGTGTTTCCACTGAAGCAGCTGAAACATAAAATCTGAGGGTTTGCTCAAGCTGCCAGGGAAGCAGAACTTGCCCTGTGCCTCTGGGTGCTGCTAAGAGAGGTGCGAGCACCAAGTCACTGAAAGCCAGAGTGAAAGCAGTAACCTCTGTTAAAGGGACAAAGTGAAGTGCTGCGATAGCTCCTGTTCTCACCTCCCTGTTGTCATCAACTCACCTTCATGTTTCCTATTGAGGCCACAAGAGCTGCAGCATGCTGGCTGTGATCCCTTTGCCACGTCTCTCTCCAGAAGGCTGTGGTCCTCGCTTTGCTACTCCACCAGCATTACCAGTTGCTCCACATTTTCCAGCCTGCAAAATACCAGACTCTTCAAGCCCAAAAGTGACAACCTCACAAAGAGGGATTCACAGGTGTCCCATTTCAAAGGCAGTTCCTGGGGAGGTATCCCCAGAGCTAGCTTTCAACTCAGCCAGGAAACTGAGCAGAGTGCTCAGCAAAACCTCCCTGGGAAGCAGGGTTGCTACCTAGGTGGAGTTAGTCTGTAATGCTCTCCTCCAGGCGTTTGCCATGTTCCCTCCTTGCATCCCTTGGATTGCAGCATAGTCTGTTGCTGCTTGTGAAGCCTGCCTGGAGGATACCTCCCCTGCTTATTGTCATCATATCGTGGCAACTGCTGCATTTGCTTATATGGAAGAATGATGTTCACAAAGTAATTATGCATTCCTTGCTGCTTCGAGTGTTGAAGTTGAGGGTTTGGTGGTTTGTTTTTTTTTTTTTTTTTTTTTTTTTGTCTCCTTTTGGAAAATTAGTCACTCATCTGTGTTTGCTCTTTATTTCATGTCCCTCTGCCATCTGTTTTAATCTAGCTGAGGGGGATGGGGAGGGAAAAGGCAAGCCAGCTTCCCAGCGAGCACTCTGGGAGTGAGGAAGGAGGAACAGCAAGAATGACATGGTCCACAGCATGACAGGCTTGCTTATATAAAACAGTAAACATGCCTCCCAAATGTAGCTTCAGTTGTTGGGTAGCTGGACTGTGAACCTGTTCTGAATTTGATCATTTTGGCTGAAGAAAGCGGAAAAAAACAGACCTATATTCATAATGCTGCCAGAAGAGATGGCAGTGATTCATTTTTTGTAGTTCATTAAACTGCAGGGCTCAGTTCCCTCTCCTCTTTGAGGCTGATCTGACTCCACGGTTCAGACCTCTTATGGCAGTGGTCTGGGTGTAGCTGTCTCTCATATCCTGTATGGTCTGGAGGAGCCCCAGGTCTGGGAGATCTAGGGCCTGGACAGCAGTCCCTGTGGGAGCCATATAAATAAACATCTGAGAGAAATAGAGTACTGCTGGGCATCCCATTGTCCTGTGTGAGCTCTCCACTGAGCAAAACCCACAACTACTCTACAGACAGACAAATTCCTGTATGGTCAACATCCTGTCCTTAGAGGTGTGTGTCTCCTTGTCTGGGTAGTCAGGGTCCGAGCTAGTATCTTTAATTTATTTTGCATTTAACAGTCTAAAAGGTTCTATTCAACCAAAAGTTTTCTATATTAGGAAAGGATGTTTTAACTTTGCTTTTCCTTCCACAGAATTGAAAAAAAGATTTTTTGTTTGTTTATTTTGTGTTGAGTTTCTATTTGGTTTGGCAATGATTCAAAGGACCGCAGAATTTTATGCTGTGCAGGAGTGGCTTTCTTTAACTATCGTCAACTAAATTTGTGCTGCAAGGTGAAAATGGAGAATAGCTGTGCTTATATTTCATAACACTGCCCTTCAGATAAGGGCTTGAAACCTGCAGGAATGATAAAGCAGTGGTGGAGCAAGGAGGTTAAGAGGTAGCTTTACATTCTTTGAATGGTAATAAAATGCAGCCTTGTTTCTCCCACTTCCCACTCATCCTTATGCTTCAGGGCCAAGTGTTCCTTGCCAGCCCTCAGAGAACACATGCATGCAGTTAGAAGTCAAAAACCTTTTTCATCAATTTCCCTACCTCTGAAAACCTATTACAAAAAGGGGTTCATCTTTTGAGAAAAAGTCTACTAAAGGCCTGCCAACCTGAAAAATCTGGGGGGAAAATATATATTTTTATGTAAAAAAAATAAAAATTAATAAAATAATTAACTGAATGCATTTCAGTTAATGAACATTTTGATGGAACGGCTCCTGTTACCGGACCTCTCTAATATGTTTTCCTTTTGCTTTAATTCGTTGGGATTTTGTCTTAATCCAGCTAGTTACATTTGATAGTTGGAGCTCATGGGAGTATCTGATTCTCTGAAGCATTGCTTTAGCCTTTTCTAGTAGTAGTAGAGAGGTGGGTTTTATCTAATGCATTTTTCTGTATAAACTCTGAAAGCCTTTACTGATCCGTAAGAAACTGCCTTGTTTTCTCCTGGACAGTAAGAAAACAATCTATCTTCAAATGTGTCTGGAAAAGATTGGCAAAATAAGAAAACACTATTTTCATACTATCACCTGGGTCAGCATTAGGATATTTCTTTTTCTGCTGTGTGCTTACCAGGATAACTTGGAGGAAAAACTGGCCTCAGAGGTGTTAGGTGAAAGCGGAGTGAATGTGACAGGTCGGTGTGCTCCTCTGCAGCAGGGTTTCTGCATGACACAAGAACAGTAAAATCTGTGGTTAATTGCTTGCAATTTGGAGAGGTGCCAAAATTCACACAATCTGCCATCTCGTCTCTGCACTTTGCCTATTTTTTATTCTTGTGAAGACTGTGCCTTATTTATTTATTTATTTTAATACAAAGAGTCTTACTGCATACTTCCTGGTGTCTTGCCTTGTAGTTTTTGTCATGTCATCTGATGTCATCTGTCATTATTCTGGTTGTCATCTGATCATCTCGTAGGTTGAAGATCACAAAAGCTTAGTGTGAAAAAAGGAACACTGAGAGCATAAGTGGAGCTTGGAATGGGCAGGTGGAAGACTTTGGAAGTCTTGAAGTAACTTGGTTAGGAAGTGGAGCTGTAGCTGTTGGGGAAGATCTCAATCTGGGAGTGTCTCCAGGGGTTTTCATTTCAGAAGTAACTAACTGCCCACAAGGCTGGCTGGCTTGGGTTACTGTGCTCACACTGACTTGCAGTGGCATGCCATGGCACTGTGTCAACCTATGGAGATCCAAGCTATTAGATTCCTTCATAGGAAAATAGAGACTCTTTACCTGGTGAAGTAGCAAGAGTTTTATTAGATAGCTAAGGCTGATGCTTTCTAACTAGCATTGCATTTATTTCCCTCTAGATATTTCTACTAAGATTGATTTGGTCACCTACTGTGAGCATTAAGGTTGGGGGCCAACTTTCCCAAATCCTGATTCTGTGTCTTAAGACTTGTCCTTTTCAGTACAGAGCTGTGACTTTTGCTGTGCTCCGCATGGGGTGCCACAGTGCTGGTTCTTGTTCCTGTGTGGAGGCAATTCAGTTGATACAATTGAATGTTTTAGCCAGAAGAGTTTAGTTCACTCAGTGCATTGGCAGAAGCTCTAATGGTAAAAAGCATTTGTTTCAGGCTGGCGTAAAGCAGTTATGCCTGAGGACATGGGATGCAGACATTCTGGCAAAACTTGCCTAGTGAAGAGTGGGCTTTAGCTTTCCTCCTTTCTGCAGTTTCCAAATACTCTGGGACTCTTGAGGGTGTCTTTCTCCCTGCTTCAGTTTGTTATTGCATTATAGCATGCTGTTTGTTAGAATTACCAGCGTTTGAAACACAAGTTCTGGTACACCTTGTATAAGATCAGAAGTGTGGATAGGAAAGCTATGGGAATGGGGGAGGCCAGTGAGAGTGAATCAAGCTGGGGAGCTGGGGGGAGAGCCTGAGAAAGAAGAGGCGTGTGGGAGCACCTCCTGCACAGTACTTGTGTGTGTATATATCCCACGCTGCCATTCAATCACATCAAGTGTATGCAAATGTCGTAACATCTCAAGAGCCGGGGAGCCAAATAACATGTCCATGTGGTGCAGTGGAAGCCTGCTTTTGGGGTTTCTGTGCTGTTTCTGGGTGAGCTGTTGTGCTGACTTAGAGCACGGGGCTGCTGGGGTGAGAAGAGGAGGGATGCGGCTGGAGCAGCCTGGTGCCATGCTCAGGCCAGAACAGGTCTGGAGCTGGCCCACGGCTCTCAGGAAAGGGCTTTCTGCATCATGTTTTGGCAGGGAGTGGTCAGCTGGCATCATGGCTTGTTGAATAATTCCTGGAAGTCTTTGGCCTTGGGCCTATCTTCAGGGGTGCAATGCTTTCAAGAATGCTAATAGCAGCAGGACAGTTTTAAAATGTGTTGACTCCAAATCCAGAAAGATATACCTTTCCCAGGAAGCTTTCTGGATCTGTCAGGTCTCCTGTTGCAGACACTTTGATTACTAAATAGGGTCTTAAGCTCTCTAACACTTTGTGAACTCGCTTTCATGTCTGATAGGAAAATAACAGACTGTCACACACAGCTTTTTTCTTTGCCTAATTCTGATGTAGTTGTGACACTCGACATACAGCACAGATGACTGTGAATGGCTTCTTCAAATTAAAGCAGATGAATCAGAATTAATTATGAAAAACAGCCTTATTGTTGTCCCAGGAATTCAGTACAGACAGCCGTTGTCTAACAAGATTATCCATCATCAAATGGCCCCCCAGACCTCTAATTGATAAAACTTGTAAAACTCTTAAAAGATAATCCTAAGAAACTCATTTCCAAACACAATTTCAAAGCCTTTTTTTTTTTTTTTTTTTTTTTTTTTTTTTTGGTATTATTTTCTATTGATATTGGTTTTCTAAGAACTTTTAAAACATAACTTTGCAATTATGAAAACCTTTAGTACTGCAGTGAAGTTAAGATAATATTTTATGCTAGGGATGCTGGTAGACAACACTTCAGCTGTTTGTTTCCTAAGACGTATGCAAGACGTATGCAACTTCAAAAGATTGCTGAGCAAAGCTGTCTTTTAGATTATAATACCAATTTAAAGAAGTGATAATTTAAGCAACTCTTTTATCCTTAGGTTGTATGCTAAGGAAATTTGTCTTTTCATACGGTAAGAATATTTATTTGTAATGTTGGTGTACACTAGCAATATACTTCAAAACATTTCACAAGGACTGTTTACTAAAAGGTGTTTTACAGCACTTCTGATCAAATAATATATATATTTTAATAAAGATGATAATGTGTAATATTGTTCTGGTGGTGAATAGAAGCATCAAACTGTTTTTCCCTAGTTGCCCAAGTCTATAGAAAGCATATCATTACTCTGAGCTGCTTTAGGAGAGTACAAAAACTTCCAATGCATTCTCAGGGATGGCATACTTTCAGTGGTTCCTGTAGTTTCTGAGAGATAGAAAGAAAATAAGAAGTGCTTTCACAAAATAACATGGTTAAAAAGTATTAGTAAAGGACAGAGGGAAAGTGTACTAATCTTCACAGACTAGAGGAAGCCTGGAAAAAATCAAAGGCAATCCATTGCTTCTGTATTATCTGTCTTGTTTGATATGTAGCAGAGCACCCTTGTCACCCTTGTGCCTAGGCACTTCTGGAAATCCTGAATTCTTTTCCCCGTGGTGCTTACTGATGCTTGCTGATGTGAGAGGTCAACTCTAAGTTGTTGGATTTAACTCAGAACTATAGCATGATGAACTCTTTTTCTACCAGGAGATTGAAAAAGATCAACTGATAACTTCGATTCTCTCTGCTAAAATTCCTCATCAGTTTTACTCTTTGAAGCTTCTAAAATTCTGGAGAGGGGCTTTTATCAGTAACATACCGTGAACAAGTAATTAAAAATATAATATATTTTTACATTGGATGCACTTATGCATGTAAGCATATATATATAATGTCCTATTTTTGTTCATCATTTCAATGTTTTATGTTTTAAGAACTTGTTGAAAACTGTTTTCTTCATGTTCAAAATGAGTTTTTGAAGCTGAAGAATTTTTTAATGTTAACTCCTCTGGAAAGAAGCAGTGAACAGATTCAGTGAAGTCTTCACATTTGTGTAGTCCCTTTTTCTATTTTTTTTTTTCTTCCCACTTCTGGACTCTCAATGCTGTCATTATATTATGGGGTTCTTTTACCTCTTTATTTCTTGATTCTCAATTTTTAGGATGTAGCCAGGTCACATATATGAAATGTTTCCTTGCATAGTCCCAGTATTTAGAGGCTTTCTTAAAAAGATATGGTTCTAGATATACGCATCTAGAAAGAAAGTGTCTTCTCTAATCAGTTGACCAAAATATCTATAGCTTCAAGTAAAACTAGCAAGGCTGAAGAGAAATAGCCAAATTATTGGCTGACGACAGTCTAATTTTAAATAGACCTATCACAGCACCTTTATGATATGTTTGTTTTATATGTTTGTGATATATGCAGTGCAGCCATCCCTAAAAATGCCACAGGGCTGAACTAGTGCCATACTTCTCTTGAAGCATGCTTTATTATTATTATTATTATTATTATTATTATTATTATTATTATTATTATTATTATTATTATTATTATTATTCTTTCTTTCCCCTATTGAAATTATTCTTGAAAATCCAAGAGAGGGAGTTTGAACAGAAAGTGAAATCTTGGATAACAGAGCCAGTGGAGCTTCTTTCTGGCTGATTTGACTGAGAGCTACTGTAACTTTTTATGTCCACTTATTTATACAACCAGGGTATGAAGCCAGCATAAAAATGTACTTGGTCAATCTAACAGGACACATGAATCAGCTTTTTGCTTGCCTAGCTTGCTGTGTTAGGAAAAGCAGTTGGAATAGAAAATTAATGTAGTTCCCAGCATCTGAAGAAATAAATATATTGTCTTTACTTTGAAGCCCTGTCTGTTCTGTAGGTGTTTGCCTCCAGGTTTGGGGGATGAAAAGTTCCAGAACCATTAGCCGCAGATGCTGGGTTTGTTGTTAATTCACCTCTACTGCAACATCTATTATTCCTTCTGGTAACTCAAATAGATTGCATTAGACCAGGCATGTAATCACAGTACTTCCTTCTGCAAGTAATTTATTCCAGTCACTTTGTTCTCTCTGTTTCTGATAATTTTTTATTCCCCCCCCCCACCTCCATTAGAAGGCATATTAGTGTAGCTAATTTAGGCCATACAGCTAGTAATGTCCTAAAATCTTTGAATCTATTGGATCAGGATTAACATTTTATTGATATTGCACCTATATTTATTTATCTTTTGATTACTCCAATATGACTTGGTTTGGCAACGATGTTGACAGTCAATGCTCTCAATTCACTAGAAAACAGCACTGCATGGGAGAAAACGTCATAGGTATAACCATTTATGAATCAAGTAACCTAAAAAAATTTAATTAAGAACTATAAAAAACAGCATAAGAGTTTTCAGAAAACATATCAGTCGAGACAGCAGCTTAGGAGGAAAAAAAAATCTCTGAAAATACTTGTTTCCCTACTATTTTCAGCCAGCAGTTGAAATGATGTAGACCTTTAAGTGCAATGAATGTTTCTCATATATCTCAGTTGGAGAAGAGATATAACATGGAAAGTAAATGCAGAACATTGAAATAAGAAGAAAAACAAAACCAAACCTGACAAAAAAAAAAAAAACAAAACAAAAAACACAACAAAACCCAACGACTCAACA